CTTCTTCATCTTCAGCATAGCTGAGGTCCATCGGCTCTGGACCGCTCGAAGAGCTTGCGCTACTAGCGCTCCAACCAGGTCGAGCCGACCTGAAGTTGTGCTCAGCATTTAATGCCACAATTACCGCCCCTTCGAAAGAGTTAGGGTGTACACGGAACACTTCCGTTCGAGCTGCGCTCACACGAAGTCCCTCCATGAAGACGGTCACGCTGACCAGTTCCGGAAGAGGGTCCGCCGCCATTCCGGCGATAAGAGTTCTCAACTCTTGGACATAGTCCAATAAATCCTTCTTACCCTGGCGGGTAGCAAGAAACTTTGACCGGACACGGTACGTCTGATTAGGCGGCGCGAACACGCGCGAAAGCTGTTGCTTCAGCTGATCCCAAGTGGGAAATGCAGCGTCAACAGACGTGCCGCACGTTAGTGCCCATTCGCGAGCGCGACCTCCAAGCCTGGAGATAGCCAGCGCCACGCGCTGATGTTCAGACTGGAGCAGGGCCGATCCCATGGCCATCTCGACCTCACGGGTCCAGAGAAGGAGATTCTCTCCATCCTTCCCCTCGAAGGTTTTTACGCTCACCATGAGCGGTTTCAGTCTCATAGACTCTTCACGCGTCATCGACGCCGCCGCCGTTGCGGCGCTCATCTTCTCTTGGACATGCTCCAAGAGCGCGTTCTCGTAGCGGGAGAACGATTCCAGCCTGGCAGTGACCGCCTCTGGACCTTGCGATGCAAGATGAGCCACGCCCTCCGGGCCAAGCAAGGACATAAGCTTAGTAAGCGCGTCCTGCTGCGCCGGGGGCAAATTCGCGAACACGGGGTGTTCCATCCTCGCAGAGGATATAGTCAACCGACTCAGGAGCGGGATTGACTACAAGTGCTACCAAGTGCAGCGGGGCTGCCGTAGCTTTAGCGTCAGAGGAAGACGTTCGACTCAAAGAGTCACTGATACTAAGTTCCTTATCCAAAGGACACTTACAGCCCAAGACCAGGGCTCAAAGTTAACACCTTAACTTTTATGCTTCAAAACCAGAAGTCATTTATTTACTATTATTGCGGCCAAGCCGCCTAGGGGTAAATGTATCTCTTTAACTATCTAGCATAGTTAAACCTAATCAAATGCATAACGTGTGGCTTTCAGCCAACGTACTGAGAGACCTTGTTAACTCTCCAACTTATGTACTGAGAGTTTGTTAACTCTCCGGGTACTTCGTACCCCTGTGTGTTCCACACCATGTAACCCCGTTACAGAGGAACTGTTGCAACTCTGCAGCGGTCTTGGGCACGGGCATGTCGCGCAGAGCTTGGATTCACTCTGGGTCGTGCCCGATCCCGAGTCGGTTGATAATACGACCGCACCATCGCACTTCAGAAAGAAAGAGGGCACTCTTTTTGGGCTGAGCAAAAATCCATGCTTGTCTAGCTTCACCAGTACAGCATCGATCGCATCCACTAGCTCTTCTGCAGTGTCAGCGAAAACCAACAAATCATCAATCCATACTATAACGCTCTTGTTCACCAGATCGCCCAATACCATTTCCACTGTTGACTGAAAGTGCAGTGCTGCGTCTGTACTCCCCTGAGGTACTCGTGTAGGTGTAAAAACACCTCGGTCTGTCATGTAAGAGAGGATTTCTTGACAACTCTTGTCCAAGGGTAGCTGCCAGAATCCTTTTAAGAAGTCGAACACCGCGTAAAACATTTTTCCTTTGCAGTGCTCGAGGGCCACCTCAAGACTTGGCATTACGCCGGCAATCGGTTCGGTCACAGAATTTGTAGGTCGACAATCCACAGTTTGTCTAAATTCGCTGGTGTTTGGCTTCGTCACAGGCAACACCAACGGCTCTCACGATTTTCGTATACCCAACCAAGTGACACCAGCTTCTTGTTGAACTCGGCCATAAACTCAGATTTCTCCGGGCTATACTGTCGAACTTTACACCGATATGGTGTCGCACCTGGTTTCAACCTGATCTTTAGTGCGGGTACACGCGCAGGAGGGTCATCCCCAAGCTCTAAATGCCATCCGCCATACTTACGCCATACAGTCGACTAGTTGTGTATTCGTCAATCACACCACGGTCCATAGCGTCACGCACTACCGCATCCACAACTTTCATCACAACGTCGCCATCAGCAGGTTTATATGGTGGCATTCCCTCAGGATCGCCACACGGATCGTCATCTTCTATTCCAGGAGTAGCCATATACTCTAATTGGCGGTCCACATCGATACCAAGCTCGACCAGCAACAGTTTACCAACGATAAATTCGTCTTCGTCGGTCTCGACAATCAAACACTTTTTTGCCTCTTGGCACCTCACAGGCCCTGCTGCAGTATTAAGCGTCAGTCGAACTTCAACTGTATGTGTTGAGGTGAGCAAAGCTCCACCAACAGCCCTCGAAGTGATTGGTGCATCCAATTCGACTAGCACAACGGCCGCATCCTGCTCACGAAGCAGATCGACGTGCTTACGCGAAATGATGTTCATATCCGAGTCGCTGTCGGCGCAATACGGCAGCTCCAGTGTTCCGTTGATGACTACCGTAGGACAACACTCCTTGTTCGTCGTAGAAGGTGCCTCGACGCGCTTCGAGCGCAATTTCTTGTTCTTTTCATTGTTGACACCTCTCTTGCTTTTTCTTTCGGCCAAAATGACTTCTTTCGCAGCCTCATCTAGGTCCGGGCACTGACTGAGCCAGTGGTCCTTGCCACAGTGAAAACAGCCAGTCCGCGGCTTGCCCTGAGACGCTGCTGCAGGCTTGGTCTGTGCCTGCACAGAACGTCCACGTTCGGAGGCTTTTTCAACCTTCCGATCGGAGCTGGAACGCTGGTTGCCATGACGGGACCCCTGGTCACCATCGCTCTTCTTTTTCCTAGTATTGTGCGAAGTGGTCGGTTGATGCCTACGTTTGGCCAGCAACTGATACACTCGCTCTTGCTCCAGCGCTTTTTCCTTCACAAGCATGTAAAGTGCACTCTCGTCCGATTTGCTGCTCGCGTCTACGATGCGTAGGTGTGTGTCCACAGCCTCACGCAACGCAGCAGGCGCGAGATGTTTCCTGAGAATGCTACACTTCTCCTTCGTCCCCGTCTCAGTGGAGAAGATGCTTGCCATACCGTGCTGCAATATGATCTCATCGCAGCGCATGAAGTAGTTGATCACGCGAGCTTTCACATCCCGCTCACGTAGATTCATCTTCAGTTCGTCATTGAAAATTGCATCAACATCGAGGATCGCGTCATTCATGACGTTTCCGACAATCTTGTCCAACTCTACGATAATCCGACCATCCGTGCCTCCTCCCCAGTCGTGCCCCACTCAAGTCTGCACAACGTGCTGAGTAATTGCCGGTTGAGCGAATTTTTCACGCTTCGTAGCGCCTTCCCCTTGTTTTCACCAGTTACACTGCAGCGCGCCTCATTTGCCTCCTCATACTCCTGTCGCTCGCGCTTCCACTTCACGAGGGCGGCGTGGGACACATCTGTCACGTACGGTGGAGAGATAGACGTTGATGATACCGGAATTGTGGCCGTCGCATTCGCGCTTGTGTCGCCACTATCCGTTGTAGCTGTTGCTCCAGCAGTCGCGGCTCCTTGAACAACTTGGTTCGAACGGCCACTGCGAGTCCTCATCGTATCTGCACGATAGATTGCTAAAGTTAACTTTGTGACGTGCTCACGATTTGGGAGCTGGAACTCCCGTTAAGCCAACGTTTATTGCTTGTAGTTGCTTGGTTGCTTCAATGTCAATTGAAGAGTGAGCTATCTAATCTAGTTTAGGACGCACCCGCCTGCCATGACGGCAGCCCAGGGGATGCCGTCCTTGTAGTCCGCGTTGAAGAACAACCGGCTGTACTTTATCATCCTGTCATGCCTTCTGGAGCAGCACCTGCGAACAGCACCTAGAGATCTGCTTAACTATAGTTGAGCAGTGATCTCTCCAACGAAGTTGGCTGCGGGTTGGAGGAGCTGGTGCAAGTTGTAATGGGCCCCTCCATTACATAAGTAGGTAGATTTCTTTACAAAAGTAGGTGCATCAGCACACGACTAGCGTGTGCTGATATGCTGTCATGCCATTGGCTGATATATGGGGAGCCAGACCCATTATTAGCCAATTGGACTATGACGTGTATTTGAGTGGCCAGGGCTGTGGCCTTGGTCCTAAAATAAAGTCAGAGTTGATTTTTCCTTAAACCTAAGACTCAGTCGTCCTATTGCGAGCTTCCTCAACACTATAGTGTAAGCAAGTAACGGAGTAAATACCTGGCCCGTTACACAAGTGATCTTGCATTACATCACATTTCCCAGCTAGTCCTCGCAAGATGCCAACCGAACATAAGTCAACTCGTGCTCATCAATGCTCAGCGCTTGCAAATGTGCCAGCATCATGCTACCCACCCCAACCTCTCACAACAACAGCTAGCCACGTGTGCTAATTTGTCGCTACAGAAGCAACAATTTCAAGTGCCAATATCTAAGCTACCGAAACGTAAGAAGGCACTGCCTAGCTCCCAGCTAACCGTGAAGTCAGCGCATGAGATGCGGTATCCAGAGCTGGACACCGCATTCCAATGCTGCATATTCGAGTAGATTCAACGGGCGTGTCGGATAGAGGTGTACAGCGGCTTAGAGCGATGCAGAGAGAGCCGCGAGACGGGCTAAGCAGGAAGGAAGGGTGCAAGCAGCAAGTGTCCTTGTTTGCCTACTTTGGACGTGCTGCAAAAAATGAGGTATCTATAGTTAAGCACCTCAGAACAGTTAATTTCGTTTTCCCTATTTCGAGGGAGGGGTGAGAGGTAGCATTATTATCTTTACTTCGGGGGACCTTTATTTTATAGCTGTCGGGGTAGATCACAAGTAGGGATTACTACTGAAGGGCTCATCTGAACAAAAAAAAACACTTCTTAGTACAGTACTTATCAATTTTGAGTACTCTCAAAATCGGTAAACGAATTTGTTAACGCTTTTGCAAGGAGGCAGATTTGGCAGAGTTGCCATGGAGGAGGACCGAGAGCTCTTCATCCAGCAGCTCGTGGCAGCATTGCAGGAGAATACAGCGCTGGCCGGTGGAGTTTCCTATCCGTCCTCGTCTTCTTCTAGTGCCGCTGATGGCAGTTCGGGATCTGACAAGTCCACAGAAGGCGAGAACTCGCCACAACAGCACACAGGACTCTTTCTATCTGCAGGTTCCAGTGGAGATAGCGAGCGACTGGCACAAGAAGCGTACATGCAACTGCAGTTCGACTTTCCGCAACTTCAAGAGGCGTCGATTGAGGCTCTAGCGGGTCTCTACCGACGCGTATCGGTCGAGAAATCGACGCAACACGTAGCTGCTGAGATCCCAATTACTGCCACGTTGCTAGACGGCGTAGCATTTCTAAACGGCCAGAGCCCGTCCTACGGCATCAGTACAGCGCAGAGATCTCGCAGCTCGGAGGGCAGTGCGCTCCTAGCCGCGTCGCTATTATTGCTAGTCTTCCGCGTGTGCTTGGAGTCGCCAGAGGCCCCAAGAGTGGAGGCGCTGCTGTCGTCGCTCGAGGTGAAGCAGCCACATCGACAAGATACAAGAGACGAGACTTCCAGTAGCGACTTAAAGAAAGAGAATGCGTTTGTGGAGAAATACGCGGCCCAGGAAGACCCGGACGACTTGAGCGAAGTCTACGAAGGACACTTGCCAGAGCCTCGAGCGCATCGTATTTCTAAACGGACCCACCAGACATCAAACACTCCCAGAATTGATAAACTGCGATATCTAGTCTCCTGCACGCTCTCGTCGTCTTTCGCAAGTGTATCCATGGAGAAGTGGGAGCAGTGGCGGCTGGATGACGAACTTGTAGCCATCACGCGGCTACTGGTGGATGGACCATCTGAAAGCAACGACACAAGTGTAGACACGTCTATAACGCTGTATGGACCTCGAGGCGAGTGGAGCAGATACCTGTACGTGCTGCGAGACCGAGTTCTGCGCTTCCCTGGCTCCAGTCGTAGCGCCTTATGGCGCTTAAAAGAGCTGATAGAATTCCTCACTAGACACAACACAGCGAGCACGTCGCAGCACCAAACTCAGCCGCAACATGTCGTCTACCGCGTGCTGGCTGAGCTGGCCATTTCTCGAGAGTTCCATCGAACTGGAGCTCAACGTGCACAGCAAGACTTGTCGCTGGTTATTCAGGAATTGTTACCGTCTATCACGCAGGAGATGCAGCAACTCGCCTCGAATGTTACTTCACGTCAGAAAGAGAGTGCTACTTCAGACGAACTCGCTGTGGTGTTTCTACAACTTCTGCACTTCCTGCTCTTTGCGTCGCCCAACGCTCGTACGACCACCGAGAAATTCCACGAGAGTGGAATGTTACGCACACTCGTCATGTTTGTACCCATCTTGGTCGATGGCCAGATGCAACGGGCTCTGTCTCTGCCAGCGCTGCTGCGTCTTCTGAGCGAGTGTGCGCTGTGGCATGCCGGCTTCGCGACGTACATTTCTCGTGTGCCGAAGTTCGTTGCGCTACTGCCGACACTGCGCGAGCAATTCGTAGCCGAAGAACTCGTTCTCGCACTTGCCTTTTGCCAGCATCAAGTGGATATCTCGACTACCGTGGACATCTGGAACACGTTCGTGTCGGAGTCGCTCTTCCCGCTGCAATGTGACTCATTTCTCGAGGCGATGAAGAAGGTGAGTGAGTAGCTGAATGATTGTGACAAGAGTAGAAATATTTCTAATTGATGTTGTTATTTTGCTGTAGCTCCAGGATGCAGTGTTTGTATTGGACTGTCTGGAGAAGGTGCTGGCAGTCTTAAGGCCTGTGATGCACAAGGAAATAGAGCGCGGTCTGCAGCGGATTTATTCAGGCTTCGGTCGGTCGTTCGAGTACCCAACGTTTGCTGCTGCAGAGACGGCTCGACAGCAGCAGCAGTTCGAGCAGAGAGATGACAATGAGAAAGACAAGAAGAAGCAATATCGCGGCCAGGCAGAGGTACTGCAGTTCACGGCGCTACGCAACAAACTGCGACAGAGTGTCAAGGCTCTGCTGGCTGCGCTGTCGTCGGTGAGCCACGTCGGCGGCCGCGCGTCGTCCAAGTTAGACTGATTTTGAGAGATAGAGATGAAGATGGCTACAGTTTTGCTAACTCGAAATTTAAAGTGAAGTCCATTTTCTATGTCAATGTCATTAGCCAATCAGAATGCACGTCCACTTCAACTGCACGCTACAGAATAATGGTCCATTTCCCCTACTTGAACATGCTCTACGGCTATTACAACGATCGAAGTGATTGATGACCACGAACCTTAGGCAACTACCGTCGGCAACGATTGGCTCTCTGCTACCCCTGCCCAGTTTTTTTATGGAGACTCGTGGGGTTCATGTTGCACTCACACAAGTCGCACAAACTTGAAGCGATGCGACAACTACGCTTGTTATTTGTAAAAACTTCGCTTCAGTTACTGAGTGCGAATGAGAATCGGTGATACGTGGCAGGTAATTCGCATTTCCCAATAAATAAGTGCTTTCGTTCAAAACAGAAGCTTTTTGTCCTGCTAGCTATCGACTCGTTATACTCATACATGCTTCAAAGAACGCCTTTAGAACAAACACTCTAGCAGGTCCTTCAAGTCCTGGTCCGAAAGACCCTGCGGGTCCGTCGGCGTGTTCCGAAAGGAGAACTGCTGCAACTGGGTCTCTACTGGAGGCACGAACATCATCATGTCGAAGTCCAGGTCGGGAAATTCGTCGCAAGGCGAATGCATTGTCGTAGTGGGGGAAACTGCCTTGGCTGTTTGCTGCTGGATGTGGTGGCGAGGCTGCTGTCTATGCGAGTTGGCCGGGGACTCCACTGAGCGGTGCTGTGTCTTCATGTGCCTCGTGAGGTTGCCGGCCGTGCTGAAGGTTTTGCCGCAGCCGTCAACGACGCACGTGTGGATGGACTTGCCGTCGTGGACCTTTTCGTGCTTGGCCAGCATGTCCTTGCTTGTGAAGATGCGTGTGCAGCCGGCCACGGGACATTCCATTTTGTGCAGCGAGTGGAGACGCTTGTGTCGTGCCAGGTTGCTGGACGTGCTGAAGCGCTTGCCACAGGACTGGATGGGACATTGATGCGGCTGCTCGCCCGTGTGCGTCTTCAAGTGTTCGTGCAGCGTGAACTTGCGGTGGAAGCGGCCGCCACAGAGCAGCACGGGGCATGCAAACGGTCGGTCCTGGTGCGAGTCACGGACCCGTGGCTGAGTGGGACAGATGATGGTGCTTGCAGGCATTGGTGATGCGGTGCTGGTGAGGTGGTTGAGGCGCGCTCCAAATTGAAAAATGAGTTGAGGAGGCTGTGGGCTCCGGTTGATGGTGTCAGGCGAGACGACATACGGCGCGCGTGATGGACCCTATCCACGGTCCAAAAAAACACTCAAGCTTGTCAGCGCATCCATGTCTGGATCGTCTCTTGTCGTCTGAAACGGTGGCTGGAGGACAACATCAAAAGTTAGCACCAAGCAATACGCCGATCGCCGAAGCATTCAGCGTCGCGAACGAGACGCCAACGCGCGACTATTAATATCGTAAAGCGCTCTTGATGAGCTCGTGGTACATGTAGCTGGAGCTGGCATTGCTGCGCTGTTGACTCAGGGAGAATTTACTCCACCAACACCGCATGCGTTGCCAGCTGAATTGTCTCCGAGTGGAATGAACTGAATGCGTCTCTTTTGACAGACACACCAGAAGAAAAGCATGTCGCGGTGGTATCCATCCAACCCTCTGCTTTGAGCAACGCGAGTCGCGACGCTACGGCAAACAACGGCCAAGTTCCCCGCCCAACGGCCTCAACTTGCAGGAATCCATTGAGTGGTCTCGGCCGGCGATCTTCTGTCGTGTCCTGCGTGAATCAGGCAAGAACTCGAGTTGGCGGGTGAGCCTATCGATGCCCTAAGAGTCCGAGGCATGTGGTAGAGATATAAAAAGCTTTAGCAATTGCTTGGCCGCGCGTGATAAGCAAAAAAATAAAAGGGAGATCCTTGGTTCATATGCTGCCGCCGCATAAGTATATTAACAGCTTCGTCGTCTGTCGGCACATTTTATTGCGGAATACAGACTCAATGCGGGCAGATTACGGCAACCAGCTTCTCGCAGTGCCCGTAAACTACAGCGCGCACTAAAATTTGCACACTGCTGCTCACCAAAAGCGAAACAGCGGTTGATATACTTTCAGGCAAAAAATAGCACACGTTTCTCTGTTTGAAGCGAGAGCGGAGTTCGATGTCCTACGTCCGACCATTCCGCCGTAGGAAACAGCGCCACCTTCCAGCCGCTGAGTCCAAGTACCTGTACTACAGGTAGCTTAAGGTGTCAGTCCGACTGACTCAGTCGTGCGTGCCCTATTAAAATACTCGCTCGCACCTTGAAGCTACACGAAAATTCCGCTTGGTATTGCGGCTGGTTGCATTGGTTCTACGCCCCAGAACTATGTACAAGTACTGTACATCTACTTTGAAGTATTCTTTGTACTCCAAACACCGAGCAAAGAAAAGACTTAAGTACGTCGACAAGTCGAGCAAGCGAACACCGAACTCCATGGCAGCGTTCAGCCTGAACTTCATCTCGGCAATGGGTCAACGCTGCGTACGCGCTGGGCGGGCCACCGGCAAATAGCCAGTACCTGTACTGTGGTTAATCATGATGACCATCATCAACTTGATGCGTCTCGGTGTTGACCGCGTGCCGGGCGGAAGGAATTTTCTCGCACCCCCGCAGCAAGCCTCATACCTGGTACATGTAATCAGACAGAAAGACTGGCAAACCGAAAGCTGTAAGTACACAGCGCGTATTGATTCAGACGACACAAGCGCGTACATCTATTATTGCACGCGGTGTCATTGCTGGACCAGTCAAGCTTATTATACCGGAAGGGTGGTGAGCGTCGTATTCTGGAATATACATCCGCTGTTTACTGCGAATAAAACTGCCTGTCTGTCAAGGAGGTCTCGCTTACCGGTAAAAAAAACGGCACCTCAACATGCATCGGATTTCGGAATTGATGAAACGAGTTTACCCCGATCCCGATCGCATGGAATTTCACGCTGTACGAGCCATCTGCCCTGCGACTTGAGATTGACACTCCAGCAGGGGCTCTGTAGATTGCAACTCGACATCAGGCACGGCCAGCGTGATCCTTATGTGAACAGTCTGCAGTGTCTCTTCAGGTCGTCATCTTGTAGAGGGATCAGAGACGGAACCAAAAGTCGCTGAAAGGGGCTGCGTGCTTATCTCACCTTGGCCATAATCAACGTGCTAAAACGACTGCGATGCTCACTGTGTCGAACTTTAGTCGGCGTTGCACATTGCATTAGGCCCCAATGTATTTGGGGGAGGGTCTACTGTCGCACGCGACAGTGTCGCGTGCGTTGGCAGTTTATCAAGCGTTTTATTTTAGATTTAGTGGAAACGCTGTTGCTCAGCTCACGATGGCTAGAGCACCTGAGCAACAGTGTTGCTCAGCTCACGATGGCTAGAGCACATAAAGGAATACATCAGAAAAAACGATACCAAAGACACCCGAGGGTCTTCTATATACACGTCGAAAGACGCAAGATATTGTCAATGCATATCAGGCTTCTTTAGGAAAAGATACCAGCTAAAACACAAAATAGAAGGCCACCTTTCATCATCATCACGATGGCTACAGCACCTTGTTAGCTTGCATCGCACTGGAGACTGCCCCTCCTTTAGTAAAAAGATTCACACTGAGGCCTTAAAGCACGGGTTGCATGTACTGTACAGTACCTCAAGACAAAAAGCATCACGTGGCCATAGCGTGGTCATTAGCGACTTGCGATTAAATGTACACTGACCAAGCTCCCGTCTCACGTTTAAAAGCTGCTAAATGCGGTACTCCCACTGCCACTGTTTCTGTTAGCCATCTCATCTGCCTTCGCAGCACCGTCAAAGGCGGCAATGTAGCCAATTGCCGCTTCCAGCATGGTGGCATAATACCCCGTCTCGCCAATCATCAAGGCCGTGATCATCGTCTCGCTGATCAAATGACGAGCCACAATGACACTGCGCAGTTGACAGCGCGCCAAGACGAAGATGAAAATGGGCAGGAAATCGTCTGCAGCCATCAGCGTCGGCTGAACGGTCTTGCCCTTCCTGTCAACTTTAGAGCCATGTTCTCTCGCGTGGGTCTCGTAGATACAGCGAGCCACTTCTACGAGGACAGCAGCCTTCTCCGAGGGCAGCGAGTAGTTATCCATACAGTTAAGTAAGGCCACCGCTGACTTCCACTTGGACGGAGATTGATGAGACAGCTGAATCTCCAGAAAGCTCTGCGGTTGAGCAGCTACGAGCGCTCGGAGGCGCTCAAAACGCTCTTCTTCCTCCTGCTGTTGGCCTCGCCCAGCTCCCAGTAGCTGGTAGATAACCTCCTGCAACGGGATGAACGTTCGACGCTCCAGTTTGTACAGCGCAGCACGACGAGCGAGTGCCCACTCGTCGTCAGTGGGCGCTCGCTTGCCATTCAAAGCCGCGTCTCCCAGTTGTCGAGGGGTGGTCGGGTTCGCGAGAGTAGATAAGTGCTCCATAATGAGCTCCAGAGCTCGCTCCAAGAAGAAGCGGTAGTTCTTTAACGCCAGAAGACTGCGAGCGTCTTGCAGAGTCGTGACGTTGTGGACTTCGACTGGAGACGCACCCAACGAGCCCTCGCGTACTTCTTGGTCGCTGTCCGACTCGTTCCCACTGAGTCCAGGCGCCCAGGGCTCCGACAGACGCGTCCACGCTGACGTACCTATGGCCGTCACAGCAGAAGCAGCAGGGTGTTCGTATTTCTGGCGGAACATCACCAAGAAGCTGGCGATATGTTGACGCATCGTGAGACTCGCTAGGAACTGATCACACGAGCGCAGCAACGACCGCAGAGTTGGCGACGCAGAGCTCACAGCACTCAAGACGCCGCCTGGCTTTGCATGTAGCGACGCCCACAGACGCAGTACGTCTCCCCCACTGCCTCTCTGTCCGAATGGAGCTGCCCCACTCTGGTCATCCCCGTCTTCCTCGTCACTTAGCTCGTCACCAGCTGCGCCTCCATGAGCGTGACTGATGCCACCCAGATTGTCCCGAAAGGAGCTGCCGTCCAGCGCCATGGCCTCTGCACTCAGTAGTCGTCGTTGCGCCACACTCTCTCGCAGGTCAAAATACGGTCCTGCTCTCCCCTGGGGATGATACGAGTCTCTGCACAGCAACGCGTCTTCAATACAGTACATCCAGTTCTCCCGGTCTCGTAGTTGAGCTGCCTGTAGCAGGAGCGTGTAGTCGGGCCCCACTTGAATAGCAAAGCTGGCATCCCGACCTCCAGCCACATGGACGTCCACATAGTGGACACGAGTCTGTGGATGGAACAGCAGCACTTCGCCTTTTAGTTTCGCACAGGAAGAGTCGGTATAGTACCGCAATACCGATTTTTCCAGTACAAAATACCGCGCCTTCCAGTTCTTCCGGACGTGGCCACGTTTACGTAGCCATCCACTCATCGAGTCCAGGAAGGCGTCGTCGAAGGCACTAGATGACGTACTAGTCGACCGACTACTTCGACCGGAGCGTAAGCGTCGATAGCGTACCCATTTACGTCGACGCACTCGCAGTCTTTTGCCTGACAGGCTGGCAGGAGACAAAGACGGCATTTCTCCATCTAATTGGGAGGGAATTTGACTCGAGGAATCAATAGATCGACCTCTCGAGCGCAGTGATGGTCGTGGAGTGAAGTGGGAGAAGCTGGAGGCGTATTGCCAGCCGTCGACCGCATCTTTTGGACTATTTACGGGGTTTTCCAGGTGCCAAGGACTCACCCACTCCCATCTAGGGCCAGTCAAGGAGCTCCCAGAGACGGAAGTTGCCGTATTATGAGCTCGATCGGCCGTGGAGGCTCTCGAAGCACTCGTAGCGGACCTGCTACGTTGCTTTATTGAGGCAGGAGGGGGTCTGTCGCCCGCTTGAGGGTCCGGTAGCGGGATGTCTGGGAAGGTGGAGGACGGAGACCACTCAAGCAGCACGTCGTCTTCGTCTTGTGTCTGTTCTCGGCTGTGTGTGCGTCGTCTTCGTCTTTGGATGGAATGACGCACGACTCGCATGTATTTATCGGGATCTAGAGGCAGTAAATGGCCTCTCGAGCCCCAGCTCAGCACCATTTGATATCGTTGATGTTCATACACTTCCTCGGCCACAATCACGGGCTTCTTACTCTCTGTGCGGGCGGTGGCGCGTTGGTTTTGCCTTTTATTGCGTTTTTTGGCGGACTGGTGAGCTGCGACGCGTGTGGGGGCGTAGAGACTGCTGTCGTAGAGTGACGAGGGCGGAGGGATGTCCAGTGACTCCTGTTGCGGGAGGTTTAAGTGGCTTCGTAGCTCCAAGAGACTCTTGTTGCCGTCCAGGACGCTACTGCTGCTGTTACTGCGGAGACTCAAGAGGAAGCTGCTGGCGTCCAAACTGCGCGTGGATGACGTCGCAGAGATGTTCGTTGCACCTGAGCGAGAGGAGGACGGAGTACAGGCAACCGCCAGCCAATAGGACGCGTCACGCGCGCTCACGGGTGGGCCCGAGTCCGAATGCGGCAGCGACGGCGTTTTGCCCGCCATACTGGACTGCTCTCAAGTGGGCTAGGAAAAAGAAAATGGACCAATCAGAAGAAGGAAAGAGCTTGCGTTGAACTTTACCTAGGATGTTGAAGCTATTTGGAGTGATGGTCCATCAGTTGGCAATAATAGCCCGACACATTTTTCGAATGACTCGATCAGCAGCATGGAGCTCGTGCAACCGAGCGCTTGACGAGCGAATCCACAAAGCTCAGTGGCAAGCGCATCGGGATCGTTTAGATTTTATCCAGTCATCCAGCGCAGTGTCCGCTCAGGCATTTTCCTCTGCTCTTGCGGCTTCTGCACACCCTCATCGCATCCATAACAGTGGGAATTCTTCCAAATCAGCAAACCACGACAAAGCTCGATCGAAATCACCAGTGACGAAGGCACGCCAGAAGCAGCTCGACTGTGACAACCTCGCCTTAATCCGTAAAATCATCGCCCTGGACAATGCGACTCCACGCTGCAATACCACAAGGAAGCGAACTAATCAAGCAAAAGAACGAGGCTCAAATGCCACAGTGTACGCCGACAAAAACACGATCGTGATACCGAAGCGAACTCACTCCGATCACGAATGCCTACATACGTTGCCAGACGTCCCGCAGACGCCAGCCAGTCACGTCCTGTACACTCGAGCTTCCGCCACTATGAAAAACAACTTTGTCGAATACAATGCACCGACAATGATGCACTCATCGAACTCAACTTCAGCCGCCGGTCGGGTCCGGTCACGAGCGCAATCGAAGATTTTACATGACAACAAGAAAATTACTTGGCGTATTCTCAACGCTCGGACGACAATCGATCGCACCGCGTTGACGCGTCATGAGGAGAAGCATTTCAAACTACGCACAATCATGTCACGGCATCGGTTGCACACCTTGCGCAGAGATAATGTCAGTACCGACACAAACAGTAATGACTTAGCTATTCGTGTTGAGCATATCAGCCACCTTGCTCAGCAACAAAAATCTCGTCCTCGCTCAGCCCCGCAAACCTCATGCAAATTGCGAGTTGCAACATCTTCACAAACAAGAATGAATGTCAGCAATGCGTCGTTGGTTTCAAGAATCCGCAAAATGACAATCAATAATCGAGATGGCAACTTGTAAAAGTGCAAATAGTGTTTGTATTGATTTTTCTTCCCCTTTACTTGCATTTCCCTCTACTTCTCATCCTTAAAGCTCTACTCCGCCCTCCCAATCGCTAGGGCTCATGCGCTGGAACGTGAGTTTAATCGGAGTCTGCGCCATCATCTTGGCAAAGAATTTCGTCAGCACTGTTCCTGACCCTTCCAGTCCCAGATCCGACACATACGCGTCGCCCACGCGAATCAACACGTCGCCCACACGCACATTGTGGAAACTCCTGCAGGTGCTACGCTCCGTATTGAGCAGCATCCGCAAAAAGAGTTGCGGCTCTCGATCATCAAACTCGAACTCGTTCTCGGCAGTGTACACGCGCTGCACCGAGAAGGCAAACTCGCCCGACTTCCACGTCACCTCGTAAAAGTACGACGGGTCCATCTCAAAGGTAGAGGATCCACTAGACAAGCCCGATAGGACACCAATAGACGGTGGCAACTGGTTGTTCAAGTCCATAGGGGCTCGTGCTCGCGAGCGACGGACGTAGCTGGCAACAGATGTGGACGAAATCGGTGGCGGCACTCGGTTCCGTCGCGTTCGACCGGTTGTGGCTGGAACGGGAGATCGATTCAGTGTACGGGACGAAGGATACGCAGACGACGCTGGAGTGTACGACATGGGCGCTGGTTTGCTCTTCGGCGACTGCTTTCCGTTCGCTGAGGGCACAGGAGATCCGATGTCGGAGAGCGAGCAGCTACTGGGGCGACCTAAGGCGTGGAGAGCCAAGTCCCTCGCTGTCAGTCTGGACGTCGATGCTTGTTCCTCTTCGTCCTCTTCCTTGACAGTGGACAACTCGGTGGTTGGCGGAGTGGGGACGTCTTCGTCTTCCGAGATCTGGTTGTTGCTCTTACTCTGCTCCGTTTCGTCCTCGCTCTCGTCCGAATACGCATCCAAATCCACATCCACTTCCAAGACATGGGCCTCAAACATGGAATATCCAGACGACGACAGCAACTCGGAATCGCTGTCGAACTCATAGCTGTCGTCCGTGTCGTACGAAGTGTCTGCATCAGCCTCTTCCTCCGCCTTTGGCTCGTCACGCTCTAGTACCACCGACGCTACCGGAGACTTTACTGCTACAGACAAGGGCGGAGCTGACGGCTGGATTGTGTCCTGCTCCTGGTTGTCCGACTCGGAAGATACTCCGTCCGTTTCCGTCTCACACTCTGGGGTTGCACCCTTTTCCGGACTTTCTACAGCGTGCAGATTCTCAATTTTGGGCTCAACTTCCGGTCTCTCTGGCCCTGTATGCTTCGACGGGTTCTCAGTGCCTCGTCGTCTCGGTATCATATCTTCAAAAGCTGAGACTTTAATATCCGACTTAGGCGGTGGGTTGCTAATGGAGCTGCGACGTGGCCGCCCCACTGGAGACGTGGGAATTGCCTGTGCAATGTCGTCATACGCCGACGGTTTGATGGCCGAACTCGGCGGCTTCTCAAGCGATGACGAGCGCCGTCCACGTGTGGCCGCAATGGGCGACGACGGTCCCGCACCTTTTGCGCGCGCGTTGATGTTCTTGATCTCCTGCTCCCGATGACGCTGATGACGCGCCTCCCGCTCCTTCAGTTGGTGATGACGTCGCTTTCTTTCGACTTCACTCTCGCGCTCTTTGTTCTCAAGCGCTTCCTTGTCTCCGTGGCCTTCGAAACGAACACGTGACGTCGGTGGACGTGCAATACCCGAACGCATAGCGGATGGCGGACCGTTCATGGCTACGTTATAACTAGAACTGGGCGGTGCGCGGTGTCGGTGTTTGTCGTCCTCTGGTCGTTTGGACGACGGCAAGCGAGTGCTCTTATGCTGCGAGCCTGTCATAGGCGGCCGCGAGTTGGAATACACCAAGTAGGGCGTGGACATGGGCGGCGGTCCGCCGTTAAGTGGGTCCGTGTCTTCCTGAGTATACTTTGACCTGCTTTTGTATTGTTGCGGCGCGTATCTCGACTGATGTCTCGAGCCTACGTCATGTTTGGACGAAGGTGGAGGACGGCGACTGGAAGGCGGTGGCATCCCGTGATGACGGGACGTGGAGGGCGGCGGTGGCAGACCGTGATGACGCATCGTAGACGGCGGCGGTCTCGACGCTGTGGCGGGCATGTCCTCCATGAGAACGCTCTTCACAGGCGGCGCGCGCGTGGCGCTGCTGTATTCGGACGAAGGAATGTACGAGGAGCCAACGCTGCCGGAACTACCCGGAGCATTGCGCGCGAGGCGGCGCTGGGCGCGCTCGAGCTTGGAGCGGATCTGGTCCATCATGGCGCGCTCAGCCGTCAACGGCGTGTCGGCCGCGGAGCCCGCCGAGCTGCGGCGCGACGTAGGCATGAACTGACTCCTGCTACTCGGAGGCGGATACATCGAGCTCAGGGTTGGTAGGGAAATGGACGAGTGCGGAATCTGCGCCCATGTCTCTCTGCCAGAGTTTCGCCTCTGCCATCGGCAATGCGGGTTGGGTGCGGACTCGGGGAAACTGTGTCTTGACGGTTGACCTGAAGCGGTTTTTGACTTGATGTTTGTAAGATGAGCCGTTTCGAAAGTGAAGGATTCCAATGTAGCCATCGCTTGACAAACATGTGTTGCATTAGTTTTGCTCGGGAAACATGTTGCCAAAAAAACCTGCAGCTTTTTCACGGTACATTGAAAACTGCTTTAATAAGTATAACTAACATTTATAAAAAAAGTGGTTGTTCGTTGGCGTCGGCTTCATGTGTAATGCGTGAGGTGGTGCACCCGATGGAAACAGCCACATGGGTTGCAACGACTTAGGTTTCGACACACCCGCACGTGCGTCGAGGCGCGTGGGGCCGTGTGCGTCCAGTCGGCCTCAACATAGAACACTATCATATTCACTATTCATAGCAGCCTACTTTCTACCAATGTAGCACATTGTGTTGTTTTTTTGTGAATTCTAACCTACAGAAATCTAAAGAAGACTTATATGCATGTAGACACTCGTGAACCCCGGGTGGCTTCCAATAAGTATATGCAAGACCCGTTTGGGTCTGTGGCTTAGTTTGTTTGACAACGTGTCGTGTAGAATCAGGAATTTGTAGTTGCATTGTAGTAAATCCCGGGCGAAAAACCAATCAACACTCGACAAAGCGGGAGCCACCCCGCTGGAACTTATAGCCAAGTGTATTGTATCGGGTAAATCGTAGAATGAGTCTCGAGTCTGATGGTAACCAGATCGAGCTCAATTATCAGCTCCTTTCTAAGGCGTCCCTCAGAAAGCTCGCTGGGAAAGTTATAAGAAAGATGATATGTAGTTGGCCTGGTTCCTAATATAAAACCCGGGTCGGACCTTACTAGCCCGACTGGGAAAACACGCATACCCATCGCCTGAAGATGGCAAAGCTGCCAGGCGCCCTTGGTTCGTCTCCGTTGAACTATGAGGGAAACCAAGGTGAAATACCTAGGATTCACTACACAGCCCCCGAAGCTTGGTTTCCCCACTACCCCTCCGCTCGACTTGCGAAGGTTGTGGCGATATCACCCAGAGCGCATGACCAACGGCTGGCAAGCGTCTGACGCTTACAACCGGACTGGTTTCTTGAGGCGCTGACTGGGTGCTCGAGATCTCTGCTGACTGCGGACACGCGGAACTTGGCCCACGGTGGCTGTCATCATTGATCGAGTTCGACGACCTAGAGGAAGCTGAGGATCTTGGTCCTCGGCACCGGTGTGCCCTTGGCTGTCCTCATCCAAAGTACGCTGAACTGTTTGCTGGACACTTCGAGGTTGTACCTCATCCGCGTCGTCGCTGTCACGCCGGACGGTTTCTCCATCGGGGTGACTTCGTTTCTTCCTGCCGCGAGGGCGGCCACGAGGCTTCTTGCCCTTCGCTGAATCAGGAGGTGTAGACGCCGTGCTGCCGTCCTCACGATCTATCTTCTTCCAGTGATCCGTGAGACGAGGGTCTTCAGCAGTGTCCACATATCTCTTCAATAAAATCTTGATGTCCTTATTCAAAACTTGCATTGGTTCGTAAGAGTCTTCGATCGACTGTAGGCCCTTCCAGCTTACTAAAATATCAAAGTCCTTCGTAGCATTATTCCACTTGTGGCCCTTCAGCTCCTTAACTGCTAAGATGATTCCTTGAGCAGCTACGTGTTCGAGTAGCTCATCCGTGACATTTAAGCTGTCGTCTGCGTACATCTTTAACCGTGAAGGGTGCACATCATGTTCTTCTCCTGTAATCAGGTGCTCTACACGAAAGGAGTGGGAATCGGCCCGAGTCACTCGATACGGTCCAACCCAATTCACTTGGAGTTTGTTTCCACGTTTCTCATCCGTTCGGGATCGCAAGACGTAATCTCCAACGTGAAAGTTTACGAGATTCTCTCCTCGTTCGCGCTTCTTGTTCCAAAGTCTTTGCTTCAGTCTCTTGTCTTCAACGACCTCCTGCATCTTTCTGTAAGCTGCTTCTCAACCGATTTAGGTATTCGTCTATCTGCTCGCTCTGTGGAATCTGCTGAAACTTGTTTTCACTGGAAAAAAAAATCACAGAGGGGTGTAGGCCGTGGCAGTCCAGTGAACTAGCTCAACTGGCGCTCGATTCCCAAGAGATGGGAGTGCTGTATGGTTCAAATTGGCTTGCACCACCGGAACCAAGTAGACCCAGTCTTTGTATCCAATTTTGTATGTTAAAATCATTGCTCTCACCACTTGTAGTACATCCCGGTTCACACGTTCAACTGATCCGTTAACCCACGGACTATACGCAAGTGTGAATGACTGCTTCGACCGGAGACGGCGACTCAGCTCGGCGACAATCTCGTTCTTGAAATGGGTTCCACAATCAGACACCCACTCAGGAGGAACACCGAATCGTGAGTGCCAATCCAGTAAAGCTTCAACCACAACACTACTTTCGGCTGAGTCTGCAACAACCAATTCGCAGTAATGTGTGGCGTGATCCTTCATAACCAAAAGATATTTGCTGCCTCCAAAGCTTTCACCCATGTAAAGAAAGTCAAAATGAAGAACACCATTACGTGTACGACACTCAATCACCTCGCTCCACGGACGTGGGATAATCTTTCCCCCTCTTGAATGCAGACAAAGCAGACACTTCTTAACGAAATTTGCGACCACATCTGAGAGGTGCTCGATAGCGAAAAGCCGTCCCAGGTGTGCAATCATGGCTTGTTGGCCGCGGTGCCCTTGAGCGCCACAGTGCGCAATGATGCACAGCCGCTGAAGTAACTCTTTTTCTTCATATGGGATCCACAGCTTGTCCTCTAGGGTCACGAGACCATCATCATTTCGATTAGCGTGAACAGGAGCCGAGTTCTTGGCTTGTATTTCCTTGAGTTCCACCAGTGTAGGCCACACAAAACGATCATCATCCAGAGGGCGCAAAGCAGACACAGTCTCAGTCCTTTGGCTTGGGCGAGCCCGAGCAACCTTCAGTCGTTTCACAGTTGGCGAATGGCTACCAGCCCAGCGGGAAATCATATCGGCCCATACATTATCAGATCCCGGTACATGCTCCACTACATACTGGTAGTTCATTAGCTTCATGGACCATCTTAAAAGTTTCCCTTTAATATGTTTCTTGATCGAAACGTCCGGTGCGAAGATGTGAATCAGGTTACGATGATCACAATACATCCGAAAGGGTTTTGGCCTTAGTAGCAAGTAATCCAGTTTATCACAGGCAACGATAATGGGGAATGCCTCTTTCTCGATGACAGTCCAGTTTAGCTGGCTACCGGCAAACGTTCCACTTGTGCAGTGAATGAGCCGATGTTGTTGCTCTGTAGCAGGCTTCTGAGGGTCGAAGTCCACAACTTGAGTCACAATAACGGCGTATCCAACGTTCGAGGCATCCGTGAAGAGACATGTGGAGCGTTGTCATCAGGAAAATCGAGAGTAGCAGCTTTGGCGAGCGAATCCTTAATCCGGTCAAATGCCACTCGTTCATCACTGCTCAGCTCAATGTTAATGCCAGCAGCCGCCCTCTTGGTCCTCTTGGTTTTCGTGAGAGCCGCGTCAAGTTTTTGTTGTAAAGGGGCAATCTGCCTTGCAAAATCAATAATGCTTTGACGCATCCAATTGACCGCACAGACAAATTGCTGAAGCTCTCCGGCAGTACGTGGGTATGGCAAAGCACGTAGCGAGTCAATTCGGTTTGGGTCATGTCTGATGCCTTCACCACTTATGATCCTGCCGCACCACTTGACCTCAGTCTGGTACAAGCTCGTTTTCTTTGCACTCAGCTTTAAGCCAAAGTGGTCCATTAGTGACAGCATTTCTTCCAACTTGTCCAAATATACATCAATATCCTTGGCATAAAGGAGTAAGTCGTCGATCCAAATCAGTAAATGGTCGTACAGTAGACTGGCAAAGCAATTCTCCATGGTCTTCTGAAAGAATATCGCAGCATCACTACTACCCTGAGGCACTCTGCGAGGGGTAAAAACCTTCTCATCGGTCATGTATGAAAGCAATTCTTGACACATTAGAGCCAACGGAAGCTGCCAAAAGCCCTTCAAAAAATCAAAGAGTCCGAAATGTTTCATTCCCTTCGCGTTCTCCATCACCACGGATAAAATCGGCATAACTGCTGCCATGACTTCAGTCAATGCGTTCAACTCACGATAGTCTGTGGTTTGCCGAAGATCCATAAGGTCCGCTGACTTATTGACAGGAAGAACGGGACTCGCCCATCGACTTTCCGAATTCTCGTAAACGAGTCCTAGTTTTACCAAACGAGAGTTGAAATCGTGAAGAAATTTGCGAATGTGAGGGGGATACCGTCGAGGCTTACACCTTGTTGGACGAGCCCCTTCCCGTAGTCGTATCTCCAGAGGTGGAACACGTGCTGGTGGGTCATCCTGCAGAGTCAAACGCCATACATCGTAGGCATGGATGATAGTACGAAATCGATCGAGCTTGTCTGCTGGGAATCCGTTCTCGACTGCTTGCTCAACCAACCGTTCAACTGCAGCAAATACGTCCTCATTCTCAGATTGAGGTTCTCCAATTCGGACCGGAGATTCGTCGGCTTCCAGTTCAACAGGATCGCCACTTGTTTCATCCACATTTAGGTCAGCTAGTTGCTCCAATTGACGCTCCACATCAATCCCAAGCATTCTTAGTACATCATTGCCAAGTATGAACTCGTCGTCATCCATATCGACAATCAACACATCCACAGCCTTCATCAGTTTAACCTGCCCAGCCGCGGTGCGAATCATTAAATGGAGTTTGGCCTTCTTATCGGCAGTCACCAACATAGACCCAAACGTCTGGTTCTGAACAGGGACAGTAAGTTCTTCAGCTTGAACACTTGGGTCCAGAGCCCGGAGTTGATTCCAGTGAGAGCGGCCCATCACAATATGGTCAGAGCCACTGTCAGCGCAGT